GCTGAATAAACAGCAGAAATAACAACAGTCCCACAAACAACAATGCATCACGTGACAAATGAGCCGACGTGAGTTAGCTGGTGAAAACCACGCGGTGGCAGAAAGCTCTGAAGAACTACCGGGTTGGCGTTTCAGATTATTTTTGTAACACAAACGTTAACATTTTCCCATAATGACAGCAGCAGCAGCACATCTGTCACAGATGCTTCTCGACTTCTGCACCAAACACCACCAGTGAAAAGTTTTAGGCCCGAATAAAGTGGGATAGTTTAGCAGATTATCAGCTGTCTTTGCTTTGTTTTTATATTTCAGATGTGATTTTCTTTTTAAAAAATACATACACTTTGGATGAGAAATTCTCAGGCATTTAATGGCATCTGTAGTAAGTAACCAGCAGGCATCATGACTGTGGCTCACAAATTTGTATCTGAAAAAAAATGTGCTCATTTGTCCATTATCAACAAGCACCAGAAGCATGTAGGAGAAAAAAAAACAAAACACTGGGTGGACCAAACTGAAACGTGATAAAAGACACCAACCGATATGATCACATTACATTTTATATGGATTCATGTTGAGCCCTTGTACAGCACAGATCTACAGAGCACGGTTGGCCTAGAAACACTGCTGTCTGCTACGTGAGGTTTGTTGAGTTTGTGTGTTTGTTGTCATCGCATCCAAAATCTAGCAAACATAATCCGTCGTGAACAAAAGTTTACATACACTCGTAAAGTCCTCGTATGTCAACGGAGTCTTTGAGTTTCTCCATCGACTCTCATACGTTTTTACAAAAAAAAACAATCATGCATTTTTCTTATTTTATAAATTTATCATACATTTTCTAGAAATATGACAAAAGCTGCTGCGTCAAAAATATACAAACAATGCTAATGTTGGATTAAATGTCTCTTGGCAAAATGTCACCTCAGCCAGGCACTTTTGGGAGTTTTTGGTGCAGTTCAACTAAATGTGTTCGGACACAGACTTGTTTCTTTATCACAGTCCAAAGGCCTTCGATTGGATTCAGGTCAGGACTTCAAGGAGGCAAGTCTAAAACCTGACATCTACCCCAATTTAACCACTTTTAATGTGTGTTTGGGGTCGTTGTCGTGTTGGAACAACTGCATCCAAGGTCCGACCCTCTGGCTGTGGAGCTAATCCTCCTTCATCATTCCACCTTTTCTACTCCAAACACATCTTCATGACATTATGGCCAATTAGCCCAATATTTTTGTTTTATCTGACCACAGAACCTTTAAGAAAATGTAATTACCACAACTATCTACATCTCCAAAACAGATTGATTAGGTTGCTGTATGTATACTTTTGACCCAGAAGATTTTTGTCAAATTTTCAAAAGATGTATGACAGATGCATGATTGTTTAATTTTTGTGACAACCCAGGAGAACTCAACGGGACTTCTCTTCAAAGTTCTTGAAGATATTTCACCTTTCACACAAGAGGCTTCTTCAGTTCTTGCTGAGTGATGGTGAGTTTCAGTCGCTCCGGCTCACATGGTTAACAGCCCGATAATGACTCAGAACTTCTGTGCCTCAAGGCGTGAATTGCTGTGAAACCATTGAGTTCAACAACGATGACAGCGATCGTGGTGGTGGAGCCGTCAGTTTACACAACAAAGGATACGAACCTGCCATGTCACTGGTGACTCAAGATGTTAGCGATGCCGAAACTCTCTGGGGAGAGCCCCCATCACTGTGCTGGATCCGTGGTGTCGCCAAACCCCGTCCTCGGTTTAGAGATGCTGTTCCAGTTTGAAGTAGCTTCCTTCATTCCTCTTTCAAACCATCTGTCGTGCACATTGCTGTCCTCAAAGGAGTGTCCATTATCCTTCAGATGCAGGTGGATGCCGAGTTCAGACGAGATGCGCTCCTCTTGTGGAGCTGTTGTTCAGTCTCTCCTATGTTCAGGTCTGTTGACTCCTCACCGCACTGGACTGCACGTTGCTCCACTCGTGTGCTGGTGTTTAATCCTTGGGGTGAACCAGTTATTGTCTTTCTGACAGACAGGTGCATTGGTAAGTCAACACAGTCTTGATGGTCTTTACAGGCGTAAGTAATCTTTTGTTCACAGCTATATGCTCAGGCCAGTGGTTCTGCAAATTGTTCTTCAGTCTGGTTTAGCAGAAAACAGAGATGTAAGTGACCTACAACAAGAGAAAGTCTGCCTTCCAACTACTTTAAACTATACAGCTTGCACACTGAGAAGGAGTAGGTTGTTGGTCAATAAATAGCTCCTACTGCAAACTACAACGTCCCTGTCATTACACAGCTTTGGGTTGTTGGATGGATCTCTTCCCAGCTGATGGTAGAGTCAAGGAGCCAGTATGTTCAGAAGTGCTATTCCTTCAGAAAGTGTCTGAAATTCTGATGTTACGTTCATATTTAAACAGCATCACATCTCAGTCCCACTGTGGGAGGGCAGACTACTTCCTCTTGTTGAACGACTATAAAAACACTTGTGATTTCTGATGGAACACCTGAATTACATCCCGGCTCTGGGGCGAACAGACACATTCTGGACTTCCAGGATCCTGATAGTAAACATCACCGCCCTGCATTGCCAGCTCCGCTTCAGTCACTAAACACTGGATGTAGCAAAAAGAGCTCTAGAAAAAGCTAGTAAGTGGAAGACTATTTAGAGAACTACTACGTCTCTGGCCTAGAATTAACTAAAAACAACAAGAAAAGTCTCTTCCATCGACAATACAAAAGTCTAACTTGTGAGGAGATGGCAATGCAGGACTGTGATAGGCAGAACAAAGGTCCTGGATCAGGACTAACAGGATGTACAGGGATGACGATGCTCTTCTCAGCAGGTAAGAGTCAGTCCATTTACCAGAATGTTGGTCTGAAACAGCAATCAGAAATCTTCACAGTCAGGAATACAAAAACAAATCAAGTGATGACCTTAAGTCTTAAAAAGTACAGTAACAAACTATGCAAACTGAAGGTATTCTTAATCAAACCCTTTCCCCCCAACACAGCCTAACTACTAACACAGTATTACTCCCTGACCCGGGGGAGACGTTTTTCCTGAAGTAGCGGCAGAGTGAAGCTAACCGCGTAGAAAGCCAGTTGAACAGCTGAGGTCCTTGATGTAAGCAGACCAGGACCAAATATCCATCAAACAGGTCCGGCCTGGAACCTGAACTCAACTCAAAAAGTTTGTCAACGTGTGGGATCGCCGCGTTTGTCCGGTGAGAGCGGAGCTGCCTCGTGGGGAAGTGTGTGAGGTTGGGTTACGAGTCTTTGAGCATGCTAATCTGAGCGAAGATCTTGAGCGCAGGACCCAGTTTGATGTTCATGGCTCCCATAAGGTGGTCCTCCTTCAGCAGCAGCAGCGCCTGGCCATCGATCTCCTGAGAGCGGAACTCCTCGGCGATCTCCAGACAACCTGAGGGACAATAACTGCACAATAACTCCACTGTCTCGTGATAATCGCTATGGGAAAGAACTACAGAATATTCC